TGTGTGTGTGTGGCTTTGTGCTTTTGTGCCGTGTGTGTGTGTGTGTGTGTGTGTGTGTAAAAGCCACCCGAGGAAGACGTGGTCATATGGGTCCTAAGGCTTTGTGCTTTTGTGTCGTTTGCTACGGAGAGAAAGAGCAGTTATGTAGAGGAATGAACCTTTCCGAACCCACTAATGTTGAGGATGATGGTTCTGGGCTACCCGTTCTCAGTATAAAGGAACCTTAGCCAGTGGATGTGGAGGAGCCAGGAAGTTTAAAGTAGTAAAGTGTAAATATGAATTAAGTAATTGGGGGGGTGGTATGGCCCCCAAACTTTAAATTCACGATACAATTGAATTTCATTCCTTTCAATGTTCGAGTACTACAGAGGCATTGGAGAAGTGACAATTTGCATCTGTTGAGGTTGAACCCGACAGATTATGTTATCAATTTTGCTCGACTGACCAAAGATTGGGTTGAAGTCCAGTAAAACTGTTGGCTTTCTCTTTTTTTTTCTTTTCTCCTTCTCATCTTTTTGGAAACCTTCAAAACATATTATTGTGTAGAAAAAACAAAACAGAAGTTGGAGGTCGCATGGTTTCTCTTACATGAGAAACTCAAAATATAAACAAAGAGCAAAATAAAAATAGAGGAATTAGAGAGATGGGGACCAAGAGATGGAGGGAGGAGAGGGAGGAGAGATGCAGAAAACGAAAGAAGTGTTAAGCTGTGCTGTGTACATAAACTAACTCCCCACGAGGAATGTAAACATTGCGTACCATAAAAAATAAACATTTTAAAAAGTTGGAAAAGCCATATCTGAATCTTCATATTTCAAAAAAGAATAACTGTATGATGCCTGATAATTCCTAGAATTGATTTGCATCATCTGATTACTTCATAGCTTTTGCACAAGCAACTCCTTAATTAAATACATCGGTGTGTCCCGGTTCTCTGCAAGGAAAGTCCAATAGTGTATGGGTATATTTGTATCTAAGCCAAAGGACTTAAATTCTTATACAGTATTAGGTGTTTTAGGCGAGAAACACTTCCAGAAATTATTTTGTCAAATCATTTTGTTCTATCTGAAGCATACTTTTGTATTAATGTAGACCATTGCAATAAACAAATTGATTTGTATTTTCTATATTTGAAGTGCCATATTGAATTTTTTACATAGTCTTAGTATATTTTAGTATTGCACTTAAGGATTCCAATGGGGTATATGCTTTAGGTGTTTACCATTTACCCAAGAGACAATGCGGTTGGTAGAAGGATTATTTTGTTACCAAGTTTATGTTTCTGAAATGATTCACCTTATACTTAATGTCTGTGTAATCTCTCTGCTTGTTAAACCAAAGATTTCCTAGTAAAACTTCATGTATACAACTGAATACATGTGTGTAATCATCCAACAGCCTCATGCCAAGTTGTGTTTTGGAATTCAGAATTTTTCAGAACTTAGAATTTAAAATTCGAATCTAAATATCAGAATATAGAAAGGCATTCATATGTAATGACTGCTGGTTAAAGCTAGCTAAATACAGTCTAATAGTATCCTTTCATCCTGCATAGTAGCATCACTGCACTTTCGTGTTGGACAGTGTGAGCATTCTCATTATGCAGAATTAATAAGACTAGAGGTGTGTCAGATTAGGGCAGATGTTATCACTGAAAAAAAATCCCTAAAATTTATAAAATAATAAAAAAACTTGCCTTCCAGAATTGAGGCTGAGGACTTACTTGAGTTTGTGGTATTTGACTCCTAATTCCCTTGAGTTACTATCTGCTTTGAAAGCAAACTGTGTTTAGATAGCGCATACCTCAGACTTTCTGGTAATTGGATGGACAGTTCCCTTCTGTTTATGCCCATAGCAAGATATCACTATCAAATCAATTGAAATATGGATTCATCAAGTAAGGGGGCTGTTTCATCCTTTAGTGATATTATTTAAAACAGCAGTTTCCCAGTTTTCCAGTGTGTCATATGATTTGAGAGAAAGAGCAGAAATTAGAATGTAAAATTAGAATCTAAATATCAGAATATAGAAAGGCATTCATATGTAGTGACTTCAGATAGTCACCCTTGAGAGCTGCTAAATATTCTTGAGAGAAAGACAGTTTCCTGTTCACTTTGCAGCTGGCTGTATCTACTTCTGTTATCTCTACCTGAGGAATGGCAGGGCAGTCTTTGTAATCTGAGATAATTTCTGTTTTCTCAACTTTCAGTGAATAGATTTTTTTCTTCCCAACTGCCCCCTCCCTCAGTTTACCTCTCTACCCTCTTTTTGCAGGTTTTAACATACATTTTCCTCCACTTTTGCATTGGATTATCTGTTCCTCGTTGGAGATAAAATGAGAATTTAGAGGTTTGAGGACTATTTTAAAAATGTATACACGCTGAGCAGGGTTTGTTTTTTTTTTTTCCTTCTAAAGCAATTAAAGTCAAAAGGCAGAGTTCAAACAAGATAACAAGAGATTACCTTTAAATTGCCTGACTTGATTGTGTCTTAATGCCTTACTCTTCTACCTTGAGTTTGAAAAGTTTCCATTTGAATACTATGGAAAAAGATTTTTTTTCTACTGAAAAACTGGGTAGATTAAAAAAAGAACTAGACTGGGTGGATTGTGGGAAAGTTCATACATTTTTATGACATGTTTTTTTGTTTCCATTTGATTTATGCTTTATGAATCAATTAAATACATTTTACTCTGCCTCTTTTGAAAGGTAGATGAATTGGAATCTTAAGTATAAATTTAGCCAGTGCCATAGATACTCAAATAAAGTAGAATATTTTTTACTTGTATTATATTCCATTTAACAAATCTAAAAGTGGCTCTCTCTTCTATTTCTTGGAAACCACGTTTATTTCTGAGGGCCAGCCCAAAGGAACATGGTAGGAGGAGAAAGTAGACAATCAAGAATGCTGATAAAGACAGCATTATGCGGGAGGGGCAAGTACTCTGAGCTTTGTGAGGACCAAAGGTACTTCCCTCAACTCTGAGTGTAAACCAAACAGGTAGTATATCTGCAAGGAGAGGCTGGGCTGGTGTTTAGGTGAGTAATGCCCTGGACCTAGGTATTGTTAGTGAGAGAGAAAAGGCCCAAGGTAGAGATTTAGAGAAATCTATAATTTAAATGCTGGCTAATTTAAATGCTGATCTGTACCTGGTCCAATCTTTGAATATTTGATTAATATAAATTAATATTTCAATGCCCAACATGTGCCTCAAGATTTTCTTCCTCCATCTATTTATCTTCACCAGTAAATCCTCGCTCTATCTTGCTAAGTCTGACAATTTCTTTTCAGTTGGTATGATCTGAGTTAATCTGTCCTTTTATTTGCTCATAATTTGTAACACCTACCTCTGTTCTTTCCCTTTTCCTCTAAAGTCAGCCTTACATCTTTGGAGCTATTTCTTCTAGAATTCTCCTCATTTCATTATACACGGTGTATTTCCTAAATGTTTTTAGGTAGCAATTTCTGGCAGTGTCTGTGACTTCCTAGTCTTAACTGAGGAGTTGGTAGTTCTGGACCATCTATCACACACACCACCCCAGGATAATTACTCTTAACTCAAGGTTGAAAAGTTCTGGGTGGTTACTTGGTTTTGACTATGGACATGTAGTTTATTGGACG